CATGGTGGGAGCCACCATCCAACAACATCTAGAGGGCCATAGCTGGCCACTTTCCAATCCAAACTCCACCACCATCATTAATGATTTCTTACAAAACCTGGCTGCATCTAGATTAACGTCTGTCATTTAGAGGATCAAGTGTAACCTTGGTCCTAAGTTGTGGAGCAATTAATGTTTGACCAAACCAGGAAATAATACCGTATGCAAAGGAATCTTGTAGCACCTTTGAGACAGAAAGAAGTTGGTAGCATGAACTTTTGTAGATTTCTGCCTACTTCCTCAGATGCCTTTTCGGAGTGGAGAATCCAGACATATACCTATATAAGCTGGTTGTATGTGAGAATGTCAATTCAAATTCTAAACCTTGTGGGTATGGAGATGAGGTGACAAGTTCAGTTTTAACAATAGTCATTGGGGAACAAAGGCAGGAGGCAGGCTGTTGTATAAAGCCAAGGAGAGTAGATAACCATATGAATGAGTATTGGAATATAGTGTGGGAAATAGAGAGGAAGATGTAATGGTCAAGAGTACCCTCATGAAGATGGGGATTCGTGTTGAAATGTATGGAATGTAGAAACCATTATCTCTGTTCAACCCATTGTTCATGCTACCAGCTTCTGTCTTTCAGTTAAGTCTCAAAGGTCTCAAGATCCTGTTGCATACTGATTTTCCAGGCTAACATGACTACTTCTTTGAATTCTACCAGGAAGTGATACAGTAAACCGTGAATAACTGAAGCAGAGAGGATGAGACAGCAACACTTAAGTCCAGCTGTCTTATGCAGCAAGGCTATTCTATAAGGGGGATAAATGGAGACAGATGTTGAGATCCTACAATGACGAGACTATGCATTACTTTGTGTCCCTGGAGTTATGTGTTGTACAACACCAGCTCATTAGGGAACTACAGTGGGCTCTTGTTATCCACTTGGGTTTGGTTCCAGGACCCCCCATGGATACCAAAACCCATGGATGCCCAAGTCCCATTATATACAATGGCAAAGTAAAATGGTGTCCTTATACAAGATTTGCCCATTGAAATATTTTAAGTATTTTCAAGCCATGGATAAAAAAAATCCATGGATAAGAAGGGCTGACTGTATGATATTGTGCAACCAAATGTACATTGCATATAAATGCATATGCACACCATGAACAGCACAAAGCACAACCATGGCCAATGGCCAATCATGTAAAACAATGCCACATGCAGAACTCTGTTTCTACATCATTAAAATCTTGTTCCATGTTGAACAAAAATCTCCAATCATTTCTGTAGGATAATTTCTGCATAGCATAAGAAACTATTAAAAGTCTTGTTCGTGGGCTCTTCGAGAGGATTCCAGCCCCAAATGGGGCTGCATGGTGCACCAATCCTTTTTTAATGTTTCCCCTAAGGTTGAGGAGATGCATTTGAGACCCACTTCATACAAACAGAAAAGCATACATTGGTTTGATACTAGGAGCATACCAGCACAAGGCCTCTCCCTAATCTTTGAGACAATGGTTTGCATAATCATCTGCATACAGTTATTGTCTGGAAAAGACCCAAAGTATATCTGTACATGTAGGAGGTAATACATTGAGGTAATACAGAAATAGCTTCATCTTGAGCCTTGAACAGACTGCTTCTATTAACACAATGCCAAACTTCACTGACCCTGCTTTGTCACAGAATGGTTGCATTCTGTTATGTATCTCTTGAACTGTTTGTTTTATTTTTGGATAGGGAACCAAGAATCATCCAAAGCCAATAGCTAAAACCTGAATAAGCCCTACATTTAAAGATAAATCACTGTGTGTGGATGTGAATACATGAATACACCATTTTGTTACCTCTGCCATTCCTTCTGCTGGTCTTTGCTGATCAACTTGCAATATGCCATTTTTCGCTGTGCGAGAGACTTTGAGCTCATGCCACTGGTTCAAACTGACAGGTTCTTCGCTCCTATTTAAAGAGAAAATGGAACAAACATATATCAGACCCCAAACATTTTTTTATATCTCCCAATGTTGGACTGAAGTAAATAGTTATGCTTTTGTACCAGATGAACAACAGGGTCAGTAAGATGGTAGCAGGCATACCAAAGAAATAGTGAACAGTGTTAAACTAGTTTACAAAGACCAAACTTCAAAATGTGCTTCTCCTTCCCACATGGGAAAAACATCTTTCATATTCAAAAATACAGACCCTCCCAAATTTGGGATTTATTGCATAAAAAAGTGTGGCCAACCACTATCACCAAGACCAACCAGTGAAAGAGCAGGTGACCTTGCATAAGAAGATTCTGTCCAATCCCTGGCATCTCAAGTTAAAAGAATTTCAGTAAGTCATTTACTGAATTAAACCAATGTTATTGTTAGGGGAAGGCCTTAAAGCAAGGCTTCAAGTCAAGGAGGACAATGCTGTAACAGAAGGGGTGGTGTCTTGGATCAATGCAAAGAAGCTTCATATCTTCATGGCAAATCCCAGAAGATCCATATTAGCCTTGCAAAAAGCACCTCCATGTGAATGTAGCAGTTCATTTCCCAATCATTGTGGAATCCAGCCAAGTCCTGCCACTTCTGCTCTCCATATATGCTTTATCATGAACTGAATGTTCACTTCAAGTAATGACCTTTCTGTGCTTCACCTTAAAGTATATAACCACCTTCTCTGTAGAAACAGGACATAATATTGTTTGTCATTTTTTAAAATAAAAATATAATACAACATGTACAAACTTCTTCATTTTGAGGATGGAAAGAACTTGAGATTTAAAACATTTTAATTTGGGAAAAACCAAAAGGATAGATTCATCTCTCCAGGCTAACAGCTTTGAGTAGCCACCTATTAAAGTGTAGTTGAAGCATTATGTTTGTGGTGCTGAATTAGGATTGTGCCACCTCTTTTCTTCTGAAATGCTTCTCATGTCCTGTTTGGTGCCAGCATGAATCCAGGTCCCTGAGAGGGAGTAGAAGAGGCAACAGACACAGGAGAATCCCCATTGCTTACTAGCAAGGATGACCTAGCAGCATAGTCAGACCAGTCCATATCAGATATTGGCAAGCAACAAATCCAAATGGCAGTCCAAAAGGGAGATCCAAAAGTGTAGTCATTAAATAGAACAAGGTCTAGGATTATCAGGCAACAGAAACCAGGAACAGGAATGTTGCATCCACCAGACAAAACTGTTGTGAGCAACAAGTTTCCTGATGGAGGTGCCAGAATTTATGATCTGTTGTCACCACATAGTTGTTCCCTGATTAATAAGTGTTTGGTTCTTAAGCACTCCAACCTCTGTAGCCTTTCCTCCTTCTTCCTAGGTGCTGTTACCTCTGCATCTTGCTGTTGAGAAACTGCTATGCTTTTTTGTCTCTCTGCCTCACTAGCTTGGCACTGTTTCACTATCTTGACTCCCTGCTCCATTTTAACATTTGTCTCTGTCTAGGTTTGAGTCCTGGGGGTGAGACACAACACCTCATCCTTAACATCTATATGGCAGGCAGATGAATTTCAGTTGGGGCTGAAATTCTATTTCAAGACTAAAGGCCTTTGCAGACTGCCAGAAATAGTGCACATTAAATTGAGGCACTGCCCTGGCTCAGTGCTAGGGAATCATGGGAACTGTAATTTATTGTGGCACCAGAGCTCTCTGACAGAGAAGGCTCAATGTCTCAGAAAAAAATACAATTCCCATGATTCCCTAGCACTGAGCCAGGGCAGTGCCTCAATTTAATGTGCACTATTTCTGGCAGTCTGCAAAGGCCCTAAGAATAGCTACACTTATTTTGGCTGGTACAATTGGGGAAGAATTCCATTTTTATTGATTTTAGAAGAATTTATCAGATTTTTGCAGATTTCTTCCTATTCGTGATGGAAAGAACTTGAGGTTTACAAAAAAAATTAAATATGAAAAACTGTCAGCTTTCCCATCCACTTTTTTCCTCCTTCTTGCAATATTAGCAAACTGCAGGCTTACAGCCACATGTAAAAGATTTACCAGACATTCGTTTGGAAGCCAATTTTGTTACATCTCTTGACTTTTTCACAGATGGTCAAGCTTTATGAAGTCAACATCATTTTCCAGTTTCACCGCTCTGAAATCTACTCCACTATCATCAGGTGTGGCCAAGACTCCACATCCATAGGCAAAAGACAGATGCTAATGTTAAAACATAGAACATATGCTTTGCTTGCAACTTTAAACAAACCAAATTTATTGTGAAATTGCAGCAAACAGTTTAATCCAGTTTGTTTAAAACTTTGTAGTGCCACTAGTGACAAGCTGGAATTGCGTATATCACCATCCTTGCCTTAGGATGTGTTATAAATCCCAATTTTGTGCTTCTCTATAGTAGAAATGGACAGAATATTCAAAATAGCTTCAAATTTTGTCAGACTTTTTTTTTTTTTT